TTTCACGTATATATTTGGATGATCATAAGTAGACATTCAAAGATTATCCCCGGGGATATGCCAGAATTCTGTTCGTGTTTTTATAAACAATCAATACTATAAATAGAAGTGTCTGACACTTTTTTATTTGATAAGATAGTAAACTTAAACATGAGCCGGGTCAAAAGGAATATACCGTATTATTTTAAGATTTTCATATAGGATTCTTAATGCCGCTAATTGCCATACGTTGCACTATGGACTTACAAAGGGATTCTCTATGGCGGGCGAGTGTAATTATTCTACGAGCTGCGATTTAGCGTTTATTCTGCGCCGGAATAAAGAGATAAGGCAACTAGAGTAATTCGTTTCCTTGTTCTTTACAAGTATTGCCTATTTTTGTTGAATGAAATAGATGCGTTTGTCAAACAAGAGTCGCGGTTTTTATTACTTTTCACAAGCTGACCTCGGATAATAGGCGAGGAAGCTCATTTCTGCTCCCGACCTTGGGCAATTCCCGGGGAGTTTACTAAAGGTATATGATTTGCTTAATATTTCTAAACGGTTCCGTCTGTTCGTTATTGATAAAGGTAGCTGACTGTCTAAACATCAATCCTTGCATTCTAAATGCACTCCGTCCAAATATAGAATAAATATTTACGATATTTCCTCATAACTCCTTACTTTTTATTTATTCCTGCCTACACTCCAAAGATTTGGCGACCGGAAGTTCCTGTTTGGACCTCGTTTCAGCCTGTTTTGGCGATTATAATTGATCCAGACATCTCTTTCCCCAAACCTATAGTAGTACACCACATCACGGAAATAATCAAAACATCAATTTGTTAAGTAGTCTTGCTTAAGACCCTTGACTCCCCCCCCCTGATCAACTTCACTGAAGTTCACTCACCATGTTAGGTGAAGTACATACTAACATAGTTATAGGGGGGGGGGGGTGTACACAGTCTTGGAGCAAGACTGCAATTTAAGGAGAAAGACTTGATGTCAGTCTTCATTGATACATATGCTTTCTACTTACAACTAAAAGTACATTATTGAATGGTACTATGTAGTACAACTCTATCTTCAAGAGTTAATGTTCAAACAAATCACGTTTCATTCTGATAACGATAATGATGACGTTAAATGGCTTAAATATGGCTGGATATCAAAACAGTCAAACAAACCACATGCAAAACAAAATGAATTATGGCATTGGATATACTAGAGCATTTTTCATTTCAGGATTTTAGCCCTGAACTCGGTGCATGGTTTGCTGAATCATACCAAGAAGGTGTTGTTTCCAAATCAAAGTTTAGGAAACAATGCCTTAGAGGAATGAAGCAGCTACAATGCATTGAGTCTTGGGCTTAAATTCTTTCACACATTGCAAAATGTTTTCTCCAAAATCATCTAAAAGGAACAAAATCACTAAAAGAACACATTTTCAATGACATTTTTGCAAGGGTCAAGTTGGCAAGTCATCAATTCCAATGTGAGGAGTCCATTCATCACCATGACAACTGTTTAAGTGGTGACCTTGCATGTCATATTGATATTTCACACACTGTTCATTATGTGAATACTCTGTTCTGATTGGCTGGAATTGGACACACCTTGCCTAGCTATATAGTGTTTGCCATTTTACCATATCAATGTACAATATGATTTTATTAACATTAAGTAAGTTATTTATAAGTTATTTTTCTGATTACACTTACCATGTATATTCACTCCATTATTTGAAAATACATAACAATAATATTTTACCGCAAACACAAGCAAACGTTATAGAATTTAAATAAATTATAGAACAAATTATATAGATCAATCAAACATGTAAAGTTTAACAAATTACCATATTGTAACGTATTGCCGATATGTAATTACATATATTTATCTATAAATTGATTGGAAAATCGGTTAAAACGACACTTTTAATTTTGATGTAGAATATCTCAAGTATGAGAATAACACACATTAAAGATCATTTTGTACAAATTGGATTGGTAAAATTCTGGGACTAATTTTTCTTATTGCTCTGGATATCCTAATCATTTAGGAAACCGAACTTCAGAAATGACGTACTAATTGTACCAAATGAGGATTAAAAAGGTGAACGAATATTGCCTCAAGATGCTAATTACTTCCTATCCTATAGTTTCACATTACTGTCATTAAGTAAATCGTAGACTATATGTCGCCTATAGTAATTTACTATATCGTCAATTAGGTCACATCTTCCTTCTAATGTCTAAATTCATATCTTTTCCAGTCTGGAATCAATTTCTCGATCTCGTAGTTGTTTTGACAATTCAACTAATATAACCTCGACTCGATGTTGTAATGATATTAATGTTGTAATGTTGTAAGGATAGTTTATGTACTTGGTGCCGTCCCGGGGGGTTCACTGTATATAAAATTTGACGGGGGTCCTAGGCCGAACCCTCAGATATAAATATATTCCTATACCAATCTGTCGTTTCAACGTATTCCCATACTAACCAAAATAACACCCAAAAGCCATACCAAATGTCCAAAAATATAAGACCAATGCCATACCAAATATCAAAAAAAGGACCAACGCCATACCAAATATCCAGATAAAAGACCAAGGACATTCAAAATGTCTAAAGTCCTGGAAAGAAGGTGGATCTTTGAGGAAAAAGATCCTTTTATACCTTCATTGTACATGTTGATCTGGCAATAGGATTTTGGGTATCTTATACAGTGTATAGGAATTCATTATCCGAGATTTCCTAGTCGTCACCTGGCGTCATGCTTAAAAGGAGAATAATTACCCATCGTACCATGATCCCCTCCCCTCTTCTTTGAAAATAACCAACAAAGAAATATATGTCATGCCAAAGGGCTTGGAAAATGAGTTATTTAGAACAGTAACTTCGAAAATTCACATCGTAACACTAACATAAAACCCTCACATCACAGCCAAGTACATTATAAAGTAAATGCATCATCTGAGCTCAGTGTGCTACAAAACTCGTTCCTCATTTTTCCAGATGGAAAGAGCAAAAATATATAATGGATCTTTCAGTCATGTTTCGAAAAATGAGTAGATAAAGTTGTCTGGAAAAATACAAAAAATAACCTTTGAAAACTGTATTAACATACGGTATCTAGCAATGAAAACATGAATGCCCTCCCACCGGGAGACTGGATGCATAAGGGAGAACAAGAAAACAATCTAAATCCGATGTTGCGAAAAACACATTTTGTTTTCATTACGAAAATAAACAAACTTTAAGATAATGAAGATACGATAAGCGTTTGCACAAGTTCAAAGATGTTCTATAATTAACTGCTCTTTAACAAGTTATTATGCTTGAGATACACTCCCCTAAAGATGTTTGGCAAACGATATTGCAAGTTGTATTGCTACACTCCCCTCCAAATGTTTGGCGAACGATATTGCAAGTTGTATTGCTACACTCCCCTCCAAATGTTTGGCGAACGATATTGCAAATTGTATTGCTACACTCCCCTCCAAATGTTTGGCGAACGATATTGCAAATTGTATTGCTACACTCCCCTCCAAATGTTTGGCGAACGATATTGCAAATTGTATTGCTACACTCCCCTCCAAATGTTTGGCGAACGATATTGCAAATTGTATTGCTACACTCCCCTCCAAATGTTTGGCGAACGATATTGCAAATTGTATTGCTACACTCCCCTCCAAATGTTTGGCGAACGATATTGCAAATTGTATTGCTACACTCCCCTCCAAATGTTTGGCGAACGATATTGCAAGTTGTATTGCTAGAGATACACTCCCCTCTAAAAATATAGCAAACGATAATCCCCTTTAAAACCACGAGTTTAAGTAAGTTAATGCCCATGAATAAATATGATTCATCGATTTCAAATGTTTTTTTTATGAATAGTACAGTGATAAAAATGAGAAAATCCAGTGATGTGCCACTTCAATGTTGTAGCATATAAAAGATTTTGCAACCTAAGTGACGTCATCGTGGTGTCACTCAGGTGGCATTTTTTCAATGTCGATATTTTCTCAATATGCTAAACTTCAAAAATAAACATTAGATACGACATTTTGTAATTGAAGTGTGTGTCTTTTGTTCAATCTTTGCAATGATGTTAAAAAAGATTGTTTTACACTGTAAACTATCATATTTTATGATTAAAAGATTTCAACTTTCATTGGAAAACTGGAGGAAAATTTAAATATTTGAGGAACAAAATGCTGACATTGTTTTCAAAAATCTCTGAAATACTTTTAAAGTCATGACAAATAGTAAATTAAATGAATGATAAAAACATATTTTTAAACTTTACATGGGGCCTTTAAGTCTACGGAAATCTTGCCGTACTCCATTTTCGTGTACGTTTGACTATTTTGAGAAGACTGTTAAACGGACCTATTAAAGGTGGACCAAAATCATGAACTAAATACCCAAGAGTAGCTCTATCCACATTAAGGTAAATTCACTGAAGAAAACATTTGCAATCTTTAAAAATAACTCATCAAATATGTTTTAATAATAACCGATTTATCACAGAACTATGAAGTATTGCTACAGCTCCTAAGTCAATGTTCATAATTTATCACTGGTTAACGATTATGGAACTTCAAACATCGTAATATTATGATGGCTTTATTAAATCATATATAGATCCTGTCATCGTATATCAAAGAGGCCTAATCCTTTTCGAAAACCCATCGATTTCCTACTTGATATATAAGGCTGAATATGAAATAATGGACAGTAAACTGCAGAATCGATCATTCACTTATAGACTGGACATACACGTATCCCACGGCAGTGCTCGCCTTGTTTCAAAATTCTATACAGATTTTCTCGATTAACACCAGCGATGAGCCGGTGCATGATGGGATAGATATTCCCCCTTCGTCAGGAACAAGATGTAAACATTGCAAAGTCAAATACAATACGATGACCACGAATAATCAGAATTAGAAATTTATCGAATTGTGTTAGTTTCCTCGTGTTCCTATTTTATAACAATATCCCGGATGTGTAACATCAAAGTCAAAGAGTACGAACGGAAAAAAAACTTGTCATGACAAGCGTGAGCGATTACTACCTGTCAAACTTGGGGAGTTATTCATCATTGTCGAAACGGAAGAATCAGGTACGTACGCTGGTTTATTTAATGTATTCTAAAACAATACTAATTGTACTCATTTGAATTCGATTAGTTAAACATTGTGCAATTGATGGATTGTACTCGGTAACGCATCGCTTGTTATAAATTGGGATTTCAGCAAGAAAGAGATACTAATGAATTATACGAAAGCATTCCTTACTTCATACTCGTAGTCACTTGGAATTAATCGCCATAAGGACTGGAAGTCATTTCTTTAAATGACAGCTTTTGTTCGTCGAGCACCTTGTGTTTTTTAAAAGATTCCCAAAGGCATCGTTTGCACAAATCTGAATGCCTAAATAAATTATCTAATTTCCTTTCGTCTCGTTCATTTCCGCAGTTGTTGCCCCAGGGTTGTTACAAGCCTTAATTAACAATTTAAGAACATTTTAAATAATTTTTATATCATTAGTAGAATGCTCGGTTATGATAATTACGGTCCCTATCCCAATCCCATCCGTGTCAATCTTCTAAATATTATTCAGAGAAAGGACACGTTGTATTTGCATTTACAGTGCTGTTAAAGATCATATATTCAGTAAAAAATATATATATGTCCAGTAATTGGGGTCGTCCCGGAATAATGAGAACTTATCACTTTTACATTTCTTTATTTTACAGGACCATAAAAATTAAATTCTACAATTATAATTTCGACTAAGATTAGCCATGGAAATACGGTATATCTGCGTGTATGTCGTACACTGATCATTCGGGATAGATCAAATCTGCCAAGAGATTCATGCATCAATCGTAAATTCATTTAATGAGCCAAAAAAATAAAACCAAAACAGAAACATGTTCTGATTCATCTGTTACGTGTTTATATCTGCATAAGGCGGCAACGTTCATCGTGTCAGGTTCAGGTTCATTTCAAGGGGCACTCGAGTGAATTTATTGTTGCAGTGTATCGCCGAACGGAAAGTCTGTGATTGTTGTTTGCATTGGAATCGTTAATGTAGCTCAGAAGTGCTCCGTCTACTCTCTTATATTAATCATGATTGCTTATTACCAGGTAACGATAAGGTATACATATATTTCAAATTAGAGTACATACTGCAAAACCTCCAACGCATTATATTTTTTACTTTACTTTCCCGACGTGTAGATCGCCAATACACACCACTGCAGATGACAGCTGTATAAATCATCGTGTGACTGATAAATTAATCAAAAATACATCGTGATTGTACTTTTCATTTGTAATGGAAGTTTGATCTAGTCTACGTAAGTATGTCAAAAGATAAAAGAAATAATGACTATCGTCTGCTTTGTGTCAATAAATTTTTATTTGAAGAAGATAAAATTACCATTATGTCTTGAACCAATTGGAAAATCGTGCTTTATTGTGATTCAATTTGCACCAAAATATATTATATTTAAGTTAAAGATGTTTGATACGTGCAGAGTTTATAAGTTCAACAAAATGACGTTACATCCGAGGTTCTGTTTCCCGAGAAATTTTTTACACTTTTCCATAATGAAAAATACAAATAAACGTTTTTTAGACACCTTCAATTTTTAGATTAAAAACGCAATGCTCGTTAGTTTGATGAACTTAGTGAATCGTATTCTGAATAGTCTTTCATATGCAGTATATTTTGAATCAATTTCATACTTTTAACGTTTTCAGCTAGTCATGTACTATATATGAATACTGTTCAATGCTATATGACGTTCCTCTGAATCTAAAAATATGAGTTTGGAAGATACAATTACATCATCGCGTACAATTTGTCACCTGAGAAACTATTCTATTTACGTATGGGAGACCCTTCTGCATTCTCTACCATTCTATCTTTCCCAAGTTAACAAGGTACCTGGTTATGAAACTAGCAACTCAATACTGTCTTCAATCGCAAGATAATTAAATCTCAAATAAAAATGAATTCTAGGTCTAAACCTTAAGCTAACAGAAACTACGTGACATACATAATGTCATTCAATAATTTTTCTTATTTGATATTTCCAGATTAATCCGACATCGTGGGATGACGCTACAAATACTTTGACTCCTGAGAATTAATGGAAAACACACAATTGCAGTACTTTAAAGATGGCATTTAATGTGACTGTTAACACTGGATTCGACGAGACAATTCCTGTCGACAAAAACGCCATTTTGAGGGCACCCGTGCTGCCTTCTGTAGAAACGATGAGTTTCAATTCTACAATGGGAGTTTCATTTGATGAAGTGTCAAACACGAGTGCAAGTGTGTATACAGATGTCATAGAAATACCCGAAGTGCGATACATAATGTTAGCGTTCCACGCTACTGGAATATTAGTCGCTGCTTTGGGGAACGCCATTGTTTTATTAATCATCTACCGGAAGCGTAGTTTTAGACACAACAATGCTGCCATCTATTTCATAATGAATCTAGCCCTCTGTGATCTTACCCTGGCACTCATACATCATCCGATGCGGATAATGGACATGTACTTGGCATTTGCTAGTGAGAGAAAAACACCCCCGGCTGGATTATTCTTCCATAATCGAATCTTCTGCCAGCTAACGGATTTTTTCTCGATATTTACGTGTGCTGTTGGTTTCCACACAATCGTTGCGATCAGCCAAGAGAGGTTACTCCTTATATGCTATCCTCTGAAAGCTAAAATCCTATGTAGCGTCACCAATACAAAAAAGGTGATGATCTTGATTTGGATGACGTCATTCGCCATGACAATCCCCATACCAATATTGTACAGCAACGCAGTAACCATTCCCTTCAAGGATGTCAACGTATCTCTATGCGTTTGTCTCCAAGAAGATTCCAACTCAAATCCAGGGGATCTAATTTATTTCGTGTTGTTATTTATAATATATTATACGTTACCTTTGGTAGTAATCACCATAAGTTATATCAAGATATTCCGTGCTTTGTATCACACAACTGAAGCTTTAGGTCCGATAGATGGCGAGGAAGGATGCCACAAAACGTTAAAAACTCGACATTCATTGGCTAAGATGATGCTAACGGTGGCTGTTGCATTTGCCGTGTGCTGGGGACCAACGTTTGGGACATTTTTGTTCATGACACTCGGAGGTTCAATCAAGAAACATGGAATATTTCTTATCAACTTTGTTGAGTTGCTACCTCTTTTAAACTCGGCGTTACATCCATTTATCTATACTCTAAACTCTCGCGCCATGAGGCGTGGTTTCAAGACGTTCATTTGTTTCAGAAGACGATATAGTTTTGATGATCATAGCATGACATCTGGTGGAGGAACAACGTACATGTATAGAGGGAGTAACCAGTTCTCTAGTTTTGTACATAGACAAGCCTCAACTACATTTTCAAACGGAAGTGCGTCATCATCGTTGCTATCTCCGCGAAGACGATCCATGGGATACTCGCTGAAGGAGTACGACAATGGAAACAAAGCATCGATGAGAACATCGAACACTTACAACATAAGACGATCTTCAACTCCAGCAGTTGTAGTGTTTGCATCTAATGGCAGGAAACAAAACGGGGCAACTGACCATCTTTAGACAAAGTAGAGAAATTGATAATCTAACGTCTACACAGGCGCAATTAACGTACACAAGTGAAAAGATCCGGAGTATACACCGGGTACATGTAGCTCCGCCAACTATATTAAACTAGGCATTAACGTTACGTTGTTAATCACGACATATGTGCACATAAGGGGACATTACGAAAATCTTTTGATTGGTCCATCAGAATAAATTGATTGAGAGATAAACCATTAATGAGTGCATCGAAAAACAGACAATTGCAAGCGTTTGAAAGATGAGCGCTAATATGCAAGTGTAAGTTGGAAATGCACATTACACAATTGCAAAATGTGACTGGTTGTGAATTTCTTTGTTGAAATTAAATTGCTGAAAAATGTTTTGCAATGTGTAATTATATAATGTATTAACGCACATGCTTCAACCAAATGTGTACTGTAAACCCATCGCGATAGCCGCGCCTCCTTTGTCATTATCCTTCCAAACGGCAGATAAGAGTGGCTCTGGCATACCAGAATGATGTAAACCACATACTTGTATTGTATGTTATCTCCTTGATTTCATATTCTATAAACACCTGGGCTCGCAAAATGAACATTGATTAATACTGATTACAGTAGGTGACATTTATAATTTAGCGTATATTATTATTCCAGAGTCCCGAATAAAACAGAAGACGGGTTTTTCATGTTTCATCTTATTATCGCCCATATAACATATGTACAAATTTGCGAAAATTGCTCCCGCGAATTCAATGTGTTTTACAGTATTTTCTTACAATTCATTATTACTTGTGTTTAATTGTTTTTGTACAAAGAGTTGCTTAACGTCAATTTCAGTGAACTTTGAATCGTATTACAAATGGCCTGCCAACGATTCAGGCAATATACATTTGGACTGAGACAACTTTAAGTTCATGAATACGATACATGGTCTTAGACGAGCATCGTCAACATTTACACATTATTTACAGGGTACTTAGCAACCATTTTATTCATGTGCATTAATATAATAAAATATATTATTAGAAGAATATTACATTCAATTTTTCCAATTATGTCACATCAAAACACTGTGTTCCTATGTTATATTGTTGTTTTTTGATAATAATGATAACTAATAAATATTATAAACGGATTGAATTTCTCTATATGTATGCTTTGTTTTACGTAGTGCTACTTTTTACTCTGTTTGGCAAACCCGTTGCCAAAGAATTTTAGGATAGCAGAGAATTGTGAAAATATGCATTGTTTTGAAAGAATTTTTGGCCAGGGGTTATTGATACCCCATCCCCCTATGGCCACGGGTATGTTTTCACAAAACTTTTATAGTACCCCGGACAGGTTGTATGATGCAGTCGTTTTTTTATTCTATATTTGCAATAGAACAACCATTCTTATTAAAATTTTCATATTTTATTCCGGAGACAATTTCCAACATGGAAAAAAAAAATTTAACGAAATTCCCAATTTCATGATTTTAACGGGCTTTTTTCAAAAACACTGCACTGTCAATAAAATACAGGTTTTGCTTGAACAATTAAACTTTTAAACTTTTTAACTTGATTTTATGTCGCAGGTAAGATAAAGAGAGGCAGTGAATCCAGATCTAGATCAAAAGCATATTTTGTAAAAAATATTCGGTGATGCACTGGTCCTCCATGTGTTTGAGCATTGTACGTGTACATGGAGCTCCTTTCTAAAACTAGAAGGCATGAACATGTCAAAATGTCACCTTGTAAGTTATTGTAAATTGTCACAGACGCTAAACTCCGAACGCCAAAAAAGTTTTGGACTGTAACAATATCTGTTTAAGTATATATCATCGAAAGTGGGCTGGTGTGATACAAGACTGATCATGATATTGTCCCTGTTATGGTGGTTTATTTGTGATTGAAGTCTACGAACATCAATCCCTGTACCCTTCCATACCAGTCCACTATCACTAAGAGTTAACAAACTTACTTTCAAATTCAGGATATATTCGACAAAGGATGCAAAATGGTGTGTATCTACCGCAACCCCAAAGACACAGCCGTATCGTACTATCATCATACAAAGAACATGCCATGGCATTATGGATTTGAAGGCGACTGGAACGACTACTTTCCCTTTGTGCTGTCGGGACTTCGTAAGCAAGTTACGCATATAGTCCTAGTCCCGGGGTCCTATGGAATGTTTTCTGCTTCATTATTCGTATTTTACAATATGTATTCGTAAATTGAACTTTTGAATTTGTTAAAAGCACATTTATGTTCGTAACTTGAGTATTTTTATTCATTGTTTGTATTTTCTGTTCGTTAATCTAATTTGTTTCGTTAAAGCGTATATGTACGTGTTTTATACTGAAATATATTCAAAAGTCCTCAAAAGCATTTGTAAGTGACACATTGTATATCCGTATTTAAATTAATTTAAGTTCACTTTGTACCTTTATCGTTGTTTCTGCAAATATATTAGTTCAATATCTCGGAACTGAATGTCAAATTTATCAATGAATGAGTACCTGCCCTGGCATTTCATTTTTTAATTGTCGAATTTATTTTCGTAACAAGGTAATACATTTCTGTAAAAGTGCACATTTACTGTTCGTAAATATTGTCATTTGTATTCGTAAATTGCACTCATATATTCGTTTTTCATTGGTTCATTGAGATCACGTGATCATTCTCAACGAGACATGGTTAAGACATAGTCAAATGCATCACCCCTCCCCCTCACACACCTAAAACTCTCGTGTCACGTGACATATGCCTCGAGACTTGCAGTTTATATTCATTAACTCACATTTGTATTCGTTAACTCACATTTGTATTCGTAAACTCACATTTATATTCGTAAATTTTTATTTTATTATTCGTTAATGTACAAATATTTCTTTTCTTTCTGCAATAATTCATGGGTAATATACAAGATTATTATTCGTAAAAATACATTTCTGCGATAAAATAACAGGCAACTTTTTGAAATTTACGAATTATAAGCTGTAGTTGGCGAATATTAAATTGTTAGTTACAAATATTTCCAGTCCTTACAAACATAAAATGCACCCGCTTTAGGGATCTATTTGTCTATTTGATACATCATATATGTATTCGAAACTTAGGCATTTTATTTGTAAATGTTACATAAATATTCGTATAAGGGAATTTATTACAAACGAATAATGAAGCAGTTATGACGCTATAGTGTCCAAGTACTCTTTATACAAGGTCACAAACGTGTTCTAATCAGTTAAAGAGACGAAAAAACAATAACCACCGAAGATGTATCAAACATGCCCAAAAACATATTACAGCTAGTTTCAGACGTTTACATCCCAAACCATTCCTGAAATTTTCAAAATGATCCGTCAAGTAGTTCGGCTAGAAGTGCATTTTAGATCAGTTCTAAACTGTCATACTAAGAAACATCCCTGAAAATTTGAAATCAATCTGTTAAAGGGGTCACCTTAGCTAAAACTTTACAGACAAGATTTTAGGACCGAAAATCCCCTTAACTTACCCAGAATACTCAAATCACTTCGAGATCTTCCTGCAAAGAATTAACCCTAAGAGTTGAAATCGATCCGTCAAACGATTCACCAGGAAACGCGTAAACAAGGCTTTACAGAAAATTTAGGGCGGGAATTCCAAAATGGCCGCCTAAAAATTAACAAAAATGCCCAAAAAACTAAAGCTAGTTCAAGATATTCATAAAAAGGATCATAACTGAAAATTTGAAATCGCTTGCGCGGACAAAATTTTGGGCCCCAATTTTGAAATTTTTGGCCGAAAATCTGAAAATCTGGACCTAATTTCTTAAAAATTTGGGTCTCGTTTTATATTATTCTATACATTTGAGGTTGATACCTGTAGCGGTTTCAGAGAAAACTGCGGACGTACGGACAAACAGAATCACAGACAGACGGACTCCCTAGGCTGACAATATTGCCCAACACTATGTGGTGGGACATAAAAAGTGATAAATTATAGAGACCATTTACATGTACACTGTTTCACAACTAGTTACTTTGACGGAACGTCAATGTAACAAAATGGATGAACTTCCCGGTTACGAATTTTTTATTTTCTCGATTTAAACCTACTTATAATTCAAGTTGCAGATTATAATTTGGCACAAAGCTCGAAAATATAATCTAGTTTTAATAAGTTTCTTCGATTTGAAATTTGTTTTGTAAATGAAATTGCAATTCATACATTTACCCCTCGCTTTTGGTACGTTGACAAAAGTCCGTTATATTACTGTAGACTAGAATCATATGATGATAAAAGCCTCTAGAAAGTGAAAGTACTTATATTTTAACGAGCAGGCAAGAGACCTATATCAAAATACTCACTTATATATAACAAAAGATTTGTGAGATTTAACATGGTGAACGAGGTGTCAAAAGGCACTAATTAGACAATTAATTAAAATAATATTCTCCATCCCTTAACTAGTTCAAACGATACAATCAGTGTTGATCACCACATAAATAGTTGTGGCCAACTTGTCATTGTGCCAGGTTGGAGCTCTGCCAGCCAATCTAGTGTTACGATAATTGTACTTTTTCTGGTTTGATCGACTTTATTGAACTAGTACGGTCTAGAACCAATAATCACCACTCACAATCATCTCCCTATCAAACAAATGCAAAATAGACTTGTTAGTCAATGGTTCAGACAGTGGGGTCTATCACACAGAAAACAGTATGCAGTTTCTGTACTAAATCCAGATGGACAAACGTTATAAAAAGTTTAAAAGAAACAGTTGAACACAATACAAAGAACCTTGAAAATACAATTGAGGCATAACATCCAAACAGGACCTCTACAGATAATTGATAAATCATATGATATATTTTCAACAATGGGGAAGGTACAACGCCACAAAAGTTAAAATGGCACAATACATTTCTGACATACCAGTATAGTGTACAACAACCAGTATAATATAATTCTCGATAGTACCAACAATATCCATCATTGGAATTGGTATCACCTAATGTCAATGAAATGCAAAGATCATCGAGACAATTTTTTCAAAATTCAAACGTGATACAACATCAGTATCTATTTGGCATGCAGCATTCTCTCACAAGTGAATTTTCTTCTGCTCATGCTTAAGAGGAACATGTTCTTAATTGTCAGATGTGAGAGAAAGATACTATGTATTAGCTAGTGATCATGCCTTCTGCAGTAACATCATATTGGATCATAAAAGGTGTGAGACGAATTTCTACCAGGAGCACCATTTACATTGTCATTATTTGTGCTGATTCATTTAATCTGCTTTTCAGTTTAGTAATAAATTGTGTGGAACATTGAAACTTGTAAAAACAGCCTGGTATACCCCAATGTTCAAAATGGCTGATGACAGCCTGTGGTGATGATACTGAAAATTGAAAATATGTTTCCATATAACATTGTATGTATCAATGTCAATTTTATAGTGTTACATTTGGATTTAGTAAACTGGTCATTGTGTTTGCAAAGGTTTAGAATATATTAAAGTATGCTTTTTGGTATGATTTCTTTACTTTTATGAATATGTGAATAATATAACTGAAGGAATGTGACAGAATGTAGTACGGAATAAAATTGAATTAGAATATATTGTTTTCTTGGTGAAATGCTAATTTGAGTAGTAAACCTAAATATTGTCTCTATTAGTAATGCAAAAGAATTGGTAATTGACTATTTATTCCACTATACATATTATGCCAACCACAAGAGAAATCTCTAAAAGCTTCCCAAAATCGATCAAAAATGGTTTATTTTCACTTTTTATACTCTGTAGCCAGATTGTATTTACTAAAATAAAATTTCCAAAAAAATTTAATGTTTAATTTTTGTCTGCAAAAAAACACATTTTTACCCCAAAACACATTATGACACCTATTTCTTCTTGTTAAATCTCAGTATCAATTAAGAAACCATTTACCTTTCAATTAGTTAACATGACTTGCCTGCTCATCAAAAAGAGGTCATTATATTTTCAATGCACTGATTCTAGTCTACATTCATTTCACTATATGCCAACCACAAGAGAAATCTCTTAAACCTCCCCAAAATCACCAAAATCGATCAAAACTGATTTATTTTCACTTTTCCATAGTCAACCAGACTATATTTACTGAAATAAAATTTCTAATTTTTTTTTAATTTTAAAAAAGAATTCTCCGAAAAACACACTTTTAACCCAAAACACATTTTGACACCTATTTTTCCTTGTTAAATCTCAGTATCAATTGAGAAATCATTTACCATTCAATTAGTTAACATAACTTGCCTGCTCGTCAAAAAGAGGTCATTATAAATTCAATGCACTGATTCTAGTTTACATTCATTTCACTATGACAACCACAAGATAAATCTTTAAAACCTCCCCAAAATCACCAAATTCAATCAAAACTGATTTATTTTCACTTTTCCATAGTCAACCAGACTGTATTTACTAAAATAAAACTTCTAAAAAAATGTATTCATTTTTAAAGAAAAATTCAGCAAAAAACACATTTTTTACCCAAAAACACATTTTGACACCTATTTCGTTTTTTTAAATCTCAGTATCAATTAAGGAACCCTTTTCCTTTCAATTAGTGAACATGACTTGCCTGCTCGTCAAAATATAATATGTCATTATATTTTCAACCCTCTGATTCTAGTCTACTGTACCAATGCATGTTACTTTAACGACTTACGTCAATGTAACAAAAGCGATGGTCTAAATGCATGAATTACAGCCTCATTTAAAAATCAAATTCCAAACCGAGAGTATTTCTAAAAGCTGGACTATATTGTGTAACTTTGTGCCAAATGATAAACATGTAAGTTTAAATCGAGAAAACGAAAAGGCGTATACATGAAGTTCATCCATTTTGTTACATTGGCGTTCCTTCAAAGTAACTAGTTGTGGAACAGTAATTTAGAAATGATAAAATGATAGAATAGAGCATAATGTATATTCTCGGTTAAAGACCAATATTTTGAATTACAATGTATCGAGGCTCTAAAAAGCTAGTATCTAAAGAAATATGAAGCCCATATGAAGCTCAAACTATAAAGAAGGGCAAAACGTACGTTCACTCTGTTTTGTTTTGTTTTGTTTTGTTTTTTATATGTTTGTTTTTTAGACCAAGAAGGCAAGTGGGTAGATAATGTAATAAGCTGGTGGAAGAACGGAAAGAATAATCCAAACATATTATTCATCCGCTACGAGCAAATGAAAAAGGTAATGTGGACAATTTATCAAACGTCAAATGATTTATCGATGATAAAGTGAGTTTTTAAATATCTACAATAGGGAGTTTAAGCTCACATGTAAAATCGAAACGCCAATCTATACGTATGACCAATCGCCCATACAAATGCATTGTTTAAATAGTTTCCGTTCACGTTTAGGTTGTGAAAAACATTGCAAGCTTAAACTCTCTAATATCTATCGAGCTGTATTTAGTGGCACATGTGTTTTATCACAGTTTTATAAGTCTTATATTGAAGATACGATCAGTTAAAATTCAAGTCAATTTCCCTCTCCTATAATAATCACAACAGGTTAGTACAGTCATTAAATTAACAAAATGTTAACTTTTAAAGGCTAAAAGCCTCGTCGTCTATATTCTATTTTATAACCTTACTTATCCAGGATTTTGTGGGAAGTGCAAAAAGATTGGCTGCATTCTTGGGAAAATCCTATGATGATGACTACTACAATCGACTTCAATACTCATGTTCTTTTGATTCGATGAGGAAACTTTCAGGATTACATTTTGGTGCGTTTGACCCTGTGAGAAAAGGTTTGTGGTTCGATAATCAATCTGAGACGAACTAAGAGGAAATGAAATAGGCGTAGCTAGGCAAGCTTATTCAGTCGATTGAAAAACGGGAAGTATAAAGGCTGCGTTTTTGAACCGTGGCACAAGTCATTTGCATAATATTTAATAAGTTTTCCCCCTAGCTTTAACGAAAAAGAACAATAAGCCCCTGCGGTGAAAAAAAAATATTCCAACAAAAACAGCTCATTCAAGCGCACTAACACCGCTTATTGTATAGTTTCTAAATAGCTGAATAACCCTGACATAATAGTTGTCACCCTTGTTTGTCTTTGATTTTCTTGGGCCAGACCTCCATTCATTTCAATGCTAGAAACTTGCAATAGTCACATAATTTCATGATTTATCAAAAAATGTTGGCTGATTCTATTTGAAACTCGAATGGCATACTGGATGACTCTGTCAATGTACATATTGTGATTTAAAATGAAAATGTTGGTTGTCATACGGATAAGCCTTGGGGTTTTAATGAATTTTAGCATTGCACCAATGGAGATTTGGCCCAAGTTTTTTAAATGTCATGGAAAATGATTAAAATGACATAACTGTGTTAATCAAGGCTAAAATTGGAGAAAATGTCACTGAACAAATATGATATCAAAAATAAAGAAAAGTAATTCATTAGAGGTAAAAAGCGCAAATCTCTTAAAATCACATGAAAAACGAGAATTAGCGAGATTTCAAAGCTATTTAGAAAGTTCTCTATTACTATGTATCAATCGTGTCGGCTAATCCCGTGTGTCAACCGCGTCGCCTTGTTGCCAGTGCACCACAGGAGTCCGATTGCAATGAACCGTGATGTCTTTCAAAAGAATTATGTGAGTGGGTTTTGATGAGTTTTTTTTGTTGAAAACACTTGAGCATGTAATTTACACTACAGGGCTTAAGTTATTCTTCTGTTTAGTGATATCTAGGGCGAAAACTCATAAAAATATTACACAATTCACTAGCACCGCGGGCATACAAAAATACAGCCCAAGACATAACAAACGTTGTCATACTTTGACCATATACAGGGAAAATTCATTGACTGTCTGGTGCAAGTAACAAATAAATCACTGGTTCCCACCTGGTTACGAAGACGTTACGTCTTAATAACAAATTGGATGAATATTCGTCGGAGGAAATATTCATTTTCATCTTTTTCACCAAAATGGAGGTCGATCTGTATCCAGACATTCCACTCGTGTGTACATAGCAGCATCCGGTTACGTAACGTCTTAATAACCAGATGGGGACCAGTGATAATTATAAAGTACATAATTTCAGGTGAAATTGGTGACTGGAAGAACTACTTTACAGTGGCACAAAGTGAACAATATGAAGCACTCTACCAACCTGTTCTTGACCAACACAAGGACTTTATAATTGAATATGAATAGTCGAAATATGAAAACTCCAAACATGCGTGATACAATAGGAATATGGATGGATATTGGGTTCAAAACCTGCAATCTCAGAGATACATAGACTTCATTACATTCACAAACTAGAAGAAGCAAATCAAATAACAAATATGTAAACAAAGATAGTTCGTTCAGTGTATCACTGGACGAACAACTGGAGAATATGGCTCATTTTTGACTTATAGCCACATGGATAACATGGACCAATCAGAATGGGCATATATTACGGCAGCTCTACAATTGGTTAGTCAGAAAAGTTGGACTGGAGTCGAAATACTTGGGTATCCTAGATTTTATAATAATTCTCTTGATTTTTATCGTGAAAAAAAGTATAAACAATTCTGGTGGTGAAAATGATATTTTCTTATATAGATTTGTAAAGTTGACAGAGCCTCGATTGGCATTATAAGACATTATGGCCTTCTATTAGCTGATTTCTATTTCTATTTGAAGGCACAAAAATGTGATAAGTATAAGAATGTTCGCTTTTCGATTAATATTACCTTAAGAAAGTTGTTTCGTTTGAAGGCAGGTGGCAATATTGTTTAAAGAACTCATAAAAAAGAATGACGTGGTTGCGAAATTAATTGGTTAAAGGCAACTCCGTTGTGCATTTTTAGAATATCTATTATTACTATAACCACATACTTTTGAATGTCACGAATCGTGATCGTCTACCTTTATTCAACTATAGTTATTGTAACCTGATCAATAATGACGTTTTCCAAACAATTTGCAATATGGAATCGTCGTTTGAATGCCTCCCTTACAGATCATATATATGCAAAGTGCAAAGGGAAAGGACGAAAAAGTTGTTACAGAACCCAGCAAAACTAAAAAAACATCTAAGTGTACACCAGTCATTGGGAAAACAAACCCCAACTATAAAAAACCATAATCCAACGTGAAAGGAAACATTAGGGTGGTTAAACTTGCATATAAAATCGAACTGAGGACGAATAACGTATCAATTGCCCATGTACATGTACTATGCCATTTGTAGCTTTATAGCTTGTTTTATGATATATATTTTAAACAAGTGCGTTTTGGTAAGATATTTGAAGCTAAACATGCATGACATACACCATCTTCTATATTCAAGAAGAATTTTTAAAATTATGAGTATAATGCTTCTCGTTGACAGCAACGTGAAACACATTTCCCGTTCTAAACACGAACCTCTGAAGATGAACGGGAATCTAACCTTATATTCGCGAGTAGTAGATTAATCCAGTAGCCTACAGGCGTTAGTTGCATTAGCGAAAACATGATAAGTGTTTTATTTGTAGTCTTTCTTTTGTTACGCGATCTAAACAGTAAAGTTATTGCATTTAACATTCTCGATGTTTACATTCTCAATATTCTCCTTTTACATCCCAAATGAACAGAAAAATTTCTAAATACATGTAGGTGATGAAAATGTAAGATCACCATTACATTAAATCCCAGTGCAGTGGTAGTAATTACAATCTATAATTAATACTATGTAAGCTAATATGAAACCGAAGGAGAGTTGAAGATTGAGATCAAGAAATACGTTATAGAATGTTTAAAAGTGTCCCGCTGCGCTGATTTGTTTATATGCAATGTACACTCCCCTCAATAATTTTTACCACCGGAAGTCCAATTTTTGGTCTCTTATCAAAGTATGTTTAGGGACGATAAAAACTCATCTTAGTCATTTTCCGAACTCTAATTTTTATTGTTATCCGAATTTATTGTTAATTGCCCTAAGCCTCTAAAAAGAATACTAAACATAGATCCATTATTTTGGCTACTTTTTGAAATACTATTTGTTTAGATTGGAAAAATTATCAAAGCTAGAGCAGTTTTCGTTAAAAAGAACTCCTTGACAGATATATCTGGAGCTCTGGGTTCCCGTGGGATTTTAAGTGTGACAGAAATATCCATCATTATGGGTATTCAAGAGGTTAAGAAAACAATTAAGAATCAACCATCAACAGACGTTGATATGCTGTCCAATGAAGACTGTGAGTTGCCAAACTTATGGAGGGGGTTGCATGTAATGCGTAGAAGGGCACATCCTTATGGAAGGGGTGTATGTAATGCGTAGAAGTGCACATGCTAATGGAAGGGGTGTATGTAATGCGTAGAAGGGCACATGCTTATGGAAGGGGTGTATGTTATGCGTAGAAGGGCATATGCTTATGGAAGGGGTGTATGTAATGCGTAGAAGGGCACATGCTAATGGAAGGGGTGTATGTAATGCGTAGAAGGGCATATGCTTATGGAAGGGTGTATGTAATGCGTAGAAAGGCATATTTTTATGGAAGGGGTGAATGTAATGCGTAGAAGGGCATGTGCTTATGGAAGGGGTGTATGTAATCCGTAGAAGGGCACATGCTTATGGAAGGGGTGTATGTAATGCGTAGAAGGGCACATGATTATGGAAGGGGTGTATGTAATGCGTAGAAGGGCACATGCTTATGGAAGGGGTGTATGTAATGCGTAGAAGGGCACATGATTATGGAAGGGGTGTATGTAATGCGTAGAAGGGCACATGCTTATGGAAGGGGTGTATGTAATGCGTAGAAGGGTATATGCTTATGGAAGGGGTGTATGTAATGCGTAGAAGGGCACATGCTTATGGAAGGGGTGTATGTAATGTGTAGAAGGGCATATGCTTATGGAAGGGGTGTATGTAATGCGTAGAAGGGCACATGCTAATGGAAGGGGTGTATGTAATGCGTAGAAGGGCACATGCTAATGGAAGGGGTGTATGTTATGTGTAGAAGGGCATATGCTTATTGAAGGGGTGTATGTAATGCGTAGAAGGGTATATGCTTATGGAAGGGGTGTATGTAATGCGTAGAAGGGCATATGCTTATGGAAGGGGTGTATGTAATGCGTAGAAGGGCATATGCTTATGGAAGGGGTGTATGTAATGCGTAGAAGGGCATATGCTTATGGAAGGGGTTATGTAATGCGTAGAAGGGCATATGCTTATTGAAGGGGTGTATGTAATGCGTAGAAGGGTATATGCTTATGAAAGGGGTGCATGTAATGCGTAGAAGGGCATATGCTTATGGAAGGGGTGTATGTTATGTGTAGAAGGGCATATGCTTATTGAAGGGGTGTATGTAATGCGTAGAAGGGTATATGCTTATGGAAGGGGTGTATGTAATGCGTAGAAGGGCATATGCTTATGGAAGGGGTGTATGTAATGCGTAGAAGGGCATATGCTTATGGAAGGGGTGTATGTAATGCGTAGAAGGGCATATGCTTATGGAAGGGGTTATGTAATGCGTAGAAGGGCATATGCTTATGGAAGGGGTGAATGTAATGCGTAGAAGGGCATATGCTTATGGAAGGGGTGTATGTAATGCGTAGAAGGGCATATGCTTATGGAAGGGGTGAATGTAATGCGTAGAAGGGCATATGCTTATGGAAGGGGTGAATGTAATGCGTAGTATGGAAGGGGTGAATGTAATGCGTAGAAGGGCATATGCTTATGGAAGGGGTGAATGTAATGCGTAGACGGGCATATGCTTATGGAAGGGGTGACTGTAATGCGTAGACGGGCATATGCTTATAGAAGGGGTGAATGTAATGCGTAGAAGGGCATATGCTTATGGAAGGGGTGAATGTAATGCGTAGAAGGGCATATGCTTATGGAAGGGGTGAATGTAATGCGTAGAAGGGCATATGCTTATGGAAGGGGTGAATGTAATGCGTAGTATGGAAGGGGTGGATGTAATGCGTAGACGGGCATATGCTTATGGAAGGGGTGAATGTAATGCGTAGTATGGAAGGGGTGAATGTAATGCGTAGACGGGCATATGCTTATGGAAGGGGTGACTGTAATGCGTAGAAGGGCATTTGCTTACGCATGAATAAGGATGAAGAATGATGAATTCGAATGATTTTAATACAATTTTACTAAGTGCATATCAGAGCCTCGGGTTAAAGAAGTTCGGCATAACCGTTTGAGACTGATCGATTTTTTTACGTCTATTGAGTGTTTAATATTTAATTTTATTTGTTAAATATTTATAGTTCAATATTACTTTCGTTTTGTTCTGTTGTATAGAGTTCATAACGTTGCATTTCCCAAATAAAGGCGAACAGATTTTATAAGCTTACGGAGCAAGTTTAAACATTTAACAAAATGTCAGGTATGTACGTAATACATGGAAACTAGACTAAACGGAAACGAGCTTGTTCCAGGTTTCAGACATGCTAAAAGTATAACTGTCCACAACTATAAACGCATTGGTTTTATAATGTACTTCAGTTATGATATTTATTCGTGCAAACTAAAACATGAAAATAGTAAAATAGAAAATAAGGAAATGGACTTAAGAATTAAGTTGAAACACAAAAAGAATTTGTCAACACAAATTGATAACACATATTATTTATGGGAGATAAAGAGTACCAAGTCCACAAGTACCTCTCTTTTTCTGTAGCTAACCAAGCTTATTTCATTGTTTTTAATACGTTAATGCATAACGAAACTTAATACACAACGTTTCGAAGACGTAACTCAAACCTTTGTATATTTACTTGTACACACTTTCAAAATGCCAGGTACGTAACAGTATGATATTGAAAGGTACTTTTGTAAAATTGCCTTATGCTATTGAATGAAACATTTACATTCACCCCCCCCCCCCTCCCCCATTATTTGGGCAACCGGAAGTTTCGATTATTGTATCAGTATTTTTGATATCTTAGATTTGTTCTTTAATAACAATTTATAGGTAAATGAAAAATTCGTTGATCGCCAAACATGAAAGTTAAGTGATACAAAAAGTGACCTTCGGTTGTCCAACTTATGGAGGGGTCTGTAGAGAAAAACTGTTACTAACAAACTGTTACTAACTAATGCTATTGAATTTCAAGGTGACGACCTGTTTTTTAAGAAACTCGCTGGCCAATTTGGCTTTGACGTTCACCCGATAGGCATACATTTGGGATTTACCTTAAAGGAGATTGAGACGATGAAACAGAATAACCAACACAATTCTTTACTATGGGGAATCGGCCTCCTGAACGAGTGGAAGGGTAACCTTCCGAGGGGAACTACACCTGCTGATAAGTGGAAACAATTAGCCAAGGCAATGGAAGAGGCAAAACGGAACGACCTAGCTGATATGGTAGATGAGCATGCAAAGGGTAATTAAATGAACATGTTATGATAGTGGTGTGGCAATAAATACAGAGTGTCCCAAGAATAAAGACAGATTTCAAACGAAATACTTAAAAGGTTGCATTGGAAAATTGCGTTAAACAATCCCTCTTAATTTTCGAGAAGGTTACAAGTTGAATTGAAAGGTGGAGTCGGGGGTTTTGTCCTTTTTTCTTTTGTTTATATCTGTATGATTAACCTTTTTCTGACCTTAATTGAAGTTCATTCTACTACCCTTACATGCACGAAATTGAATTGGGTTCGCCTAACCGTCTAAAAGAGTTGTTCAACGTAACATTGGGCTTAAAACCTTTGTGGAAGTAAGAACAATTAACTTAAATGTATGTAAAAACTAATATAAGTTTATTCGGTACATAGCGATACACAAGAAATAAAGGGTATACAGTTATAAAAATACATGATTCTTACTATACCCCGCCTTTGCCTTTGCCAAGTAAACGAACAAAGATGTGAATAACATGATAATACGGCTATGGTATTCCAGGTGATGTGGCTCCACCACAAGTCCAAGAGGAGGCCCAGCCTCATCTACCAGTACCTATGGCTGAAGGCGATACACAGGATGGTAAGGTCATTCAGTAATGCCGTGAAGTGTAGTATACGGTAGCGTAGTGCCCCGTAGACTTCATATGAAGTGTTAATGCATAAGATATTGGTCGTTTTGATGAGCTTTATTCATTTTACATAATTTGAAAATGTATATTTCTTACAGAAATATGATTTTTTCTTCGATAGTCCAATAGATTCTTGAGATGATATTTATTTATATAAGTTGAACCATAAACTATGTAACTATTTATTTTCTCGAAAAAATTTATAACACTGTATATACAAGTTTCAAGTGTAAGTTGGGGGATAATGCCATTATGCATCTTGTATAGGTAATATGGAAAATCAAACGGGGAAAGCAGGAACAGCAATTCATATACCGAATGAAGATGATCGACCTAAAGTTGTCGCTGGAGCCAGGCCGACCAATGTTGCTGGCAAGTCGAGGTTGGTCTCCGAGGAAACATGTGTTCAACAGGCTACAAGCTCGAATCCATGAAAAGACAATTGATGAACTGATGTGTAACTGTATGTTCCAGACATAATGCCATCTTTAGAAATGAAACAACCTCCCGTGGCATTCGTAGTTTATACTTTATACCACTGCGACTGGCAAATCAAATGAAACAATCTGATAGGGAATTCTTTTTTCTATCGTGTACGTTTTTTAGACACTATGCCATCTTAGGCAATGAAACCGTTCTTCTGTATTATGTCATTCAATTATTTTTATTCTAAAAATATAAACAAAAAATCTATATTGAGTGGGCCAAATCGAATTTTATTAGTATAAGACAATTACAATAATTGTATGTACATGTATACGTTTTTACGTGGTTATAGATGTCATTTCTATTAGTATGTAACTTGAATTGGGACTTAATTTTGCGAATTAAATCTAAATTAGTCTTTTCAATGCTAAAAAAACTGCGCAAACTGCGCAAACATTATCTCGCAGCATATTGAACAAAGATTATGGATTGTGAACGCTATCATAGTATCTAATGCTGTTGTCTCTCTTGAATATGTCAAGGCACCATAGCAATTATGTCTCCAAATGTCTGCTTTGACATTTTGAATTTGAATTTTCATATCTTCTGTTTCAAGACATCGACAATCAAAGTAAATGTTATTCGTGTGTGCTATTGTATACATAATCTTAGAAACTCGCATTGTTGAAATACGAGGGTTGATCATAAAGTTCTCATAATATCTCTCTAATTTTTTTATTTTTCAATATATTGTGATGAAATTTTCACAGAATGTGTAGCATAGAATGTCTTATTAATTCAGCAAAAAATATTTAGTTTAACAGAAATATTAAATAAGAAATGGTTGCCATAGTAGCAGGAAATCAAGGCACCCGTGGCAAATGAAAGTAATTGACAAAATAGCTCTAATTTACCATGTTAACATACATAATGAACTCTCATAGATTCCCAAACACGTAGAAATGTTAACTTGAATATGTTGTTAAGTGCTTTTACTATTGAAAAATTGATTTTGCGGATTGTGTGATGTCGTAGGGGATGCTTCCATGCTTCATGAGATGTGATACCAGAGCCTGAGACTCGAAGCTATTGATCAGAAATGACTGAGTAAGAAAATGCTATAGATGCAGAGATCTTCAGAAAAATAAAATTCATACTGCTAAAATGTTATTTTAAGTTTGTAAGATCCTTTGGTCAGACTAAACATGATCTAAAACAAATATATTGCTAAGATATCATCAAAATTACACCCTGTGTGTGGTCTGAACATGTTAAAAATGAACTAAAGGGGCAAAATCAATTTTTCTCTGGATATTTGACAAAACAGTCATAGGGTCTAACAGTCACTTCTTATGAAGCATATTAATCATCCATTATGAGATCACAAAATTAAGACGACCATTATAATAGTTCACAACAGTCAAGAGCACATATTATGTGACTAATTATTGTGTTTGATAGCTTATTTGACAACTTATTATGTATTCAAACATGGTTAATGGGGCTATTCTAGCGAGGGTTTTTTATTTGCCCCAGGTGCCCTGATTTCAAGTTACTATGGCGACCATTTCTTTTCTTATGTTTCTGTTATTCTAAATATTTTTGCTGGATTAATGAAACATTCCATTCTGCACATTATGTGAAAATTTCATAAGAAAATATTGAAAAATAAAAAAATTAGAGAGATATTATGAGAACTTTATGATCAACACTCGAACATGTATACGACTCATTATTATTGAATTAAAAAGCTTAAGATTGGAGAATTGAAGTCTCTGTTTCTTGATTTTACTAAAACAACCCTGTTGTATGGGCAAGGCGTGTTCTCAAGGATAAAGCACCAATGGCCATCTTTCGGAATATGAACGATTGCGGGCTCAATACCAGCTTGCAAATGCGCGACGCCGTGCTTTCGCTTATCCCAAAGTTTTCCAATTTTGAAATTATAAAGCGGTCGATAACGTCATCAATTCCCTCTCCAATGAATTCTAAACCTGCAGCCTCTAGTATGAGGTCAGAGATCTCCGTCAGCGCCACATCCCATATTTCGTCTAAATCGGGCGAATCCCAGAAATCGGAGCTTTCAATGGCTTCGAGACAATCTTCAAATGCTTCATCGAACTTGTCCCCAATTGCTTCTTTAAGATCTGCAATCGTGGATACAACTGCAACACCCGTTGCTATCTTGTCAACCCGATCAATATTGTTTGATACAGCTACGGCTGATTCAAGGACTGTCACGCATCGTTCTGCGGGTTCTTCCCAATTTCTTGCCGCGGCCATCGAGCTACCTGAACGTAACATTACATGGTCTTAAAGAAGCGAGAAGGTATAGTATTAAAGGTTGCTTGATTTGAGCAAATATTTTTCAAACTTTAAAAAGGAATGGCGTTTTGTTATATACCATAAGAAAGGAGAAGATGTCGAGAAAGAGGTTGTAATAATATTCATACTATGTCCCGATCTCATGTACATTTACAGAATTACTAACACGTAATGGTACATCTATTTTCGGAAGACTCTTGAACAATGGTTTTAGCATAATATATAACATGTTAGATATCAAAACATAGGTAATTGAAATGAAAATTATATGGTATATTAATATTTAATTTTTATTTTTTAGATTAGGGACGCTTAAAAGACTCTATTGAGTTTTAAAGTGCACATTTTTACCATGTAAAACGTTGCATTTGATAATTTTGAAATATGGTAATTTGGTCCTAACTTTTTTATTCCATAACCAATTTAGTTCAAATTTGGTATGGGACAACAATTGCTGATGGGCATTTATGACGTCGCATGATCTCGTGACGTCATCCACGCATATCCGCCATCTTGGACGCCCAAGAAATAGTAAAAATGTGTAAAACTCGAAAAATAAATGTTGGTACGGACCTTAGGCCCTTATTATCTTATTTAAAATCAAAAAGATGTCATTAATACTTATTCTATATATGTTTAACTATAACTTAACGTTAAAAATATATGTTTTGTATTCATTTTGTTTACATATTAGCAAACATTTAGCGACTTGTGTTTGTTTTGTTCTAAGAAAAAAATTGATAGAAATATGGCGAGTTTCAAAGACTCTTGTCATTTCAATACTAGTACACGAAATTATGTTTTTCTAGTGACATTCAACTAGATTTTTTATAATGTCATAAAAGTATTGCCCTTATACTACATATACTATAGTTTTAAGTTCAGTTGCATTGCTTTGCATGTATTTGGACCAGGTAATATGACGTTGTAAAAATTGATTAGGGTGTTTTTAATAGCAGTCTAAAATGATATCAAGAAAACAAATGATAACATATTTGGTATGTAGAGAATGCTCATAGCCCATATCTTATGATTCATCACGTTTAACATCTTTAGATCAAGCTAGGTATGAGATTTTTCTTTAAACGTGCGTGACAGAGAATTGTCCCATCTCGATTTTTTTCCTTTGAATTTTAGTAGGCTGAATCCAGGGAAGGAAAAAATGAATATAAACTTTGAAAATATATGATATTATATTATCATAAAAATGCTCATAAACTCAAGATTCCAATGATATATCACATGACTATCATCCCTTCTTAGATCTTTAGTTATTGTTTAATATGTGCGTGACATAATTTGTCCCATCGACGATTTTTTTTACAAATCTAGAGAAATACGACGTCATATCAGCGCTACAGCAAATCGTGAAGAACAAAATGCTCTCAAGTCGTGGCATGATAGTATTTTGAACAAAATATCTTAAATGACGGTAGTGAATTAGACCATTCAAGGGAATATATAGAAAGATTCTTCACATGTAGTTCAGGCAATTTTAATTATTCTGAGTAGCCGATAGTCATTAATACTGATAGCGGAAAGTCATTTATCATTAACGAGTTCATATTTAATTTCGTTATTTTATTTGAATTTCATATCCTATTAACACATATAATCTAGCGTTCTTGTTAATTTAATGACTAAAATGCATTTACATGTACGACCTGAAAGCCCGTGTCTAAATCTACAAAATAATGTTTACTTTATTTGGATTAAATAACAATTGATGACACTTCAAGGCATCAACAGGCGGCTGTTTTAGCATTATTTTCACTGTTTGCAACGTAAATGTACATGAGACCGGGACACAGTATCATAACGAAAATCTGCTAGTAACGAAGCAGATTAAATACTGCTTCCGTCACTGGAAATTTTGGCTTTATATAACATTATTTAATTTATAATAAATTACGTCATCATATTATATAGCCAACAACAAACCTACTTAGTTGTGGACTTGTGGTACTCTTATTTTTGCCTATCAAAGAGCGCAAGTACCCAGAACACTACAGCTTCGTAAATCCTTTAATGGGGGATCGGGAAACATTTGAAAAAAGTATTTCTCATTTTCCCTAATATACAGAATGTTGGCTTGTATAAAACGTCACAATCTAAAAAACTGTGTGATCAATTTAATTTTAAATGTGCAATTTTCTTCTAAATATATACTTATTCATTGAAAAAGATCGCACCAAACAAAGAAATACTATTTACGATTTGCGCAATTAATGAATGAATTCCTGAAGGTCAACGAAAAAAGTAGTGGTTTATTCATAGATCCCGGCCAGATTCTTTTGTGCTACGCTCGTTCGGTCAATATCATATTTCCCTCGGTCAATATCATATTACCCTGGAATAAAATTCATATTGAAAATCAAGCATGAAATAACCTATATTTATATTATTTTATATATCATATAATATTATTTCATGTATCGTATAAACTCTCGTTGCATTCTACGATTCTAAACAGGTAATCATTTTACCTGTTTTCTCTGGTCCTCTGGTAATAATTTAATTACGTTTATTAGGTTTCACGCGTTGACCCGTTAATCTTCGACCTGGACTAGTTATATTCTGTTTGTGTTGACAAGGACGCGGTAATGTGTTTTTTTTTAGATAAAGCATGCAGAACTGATTACATGAATCGTTTTATGTGAATATTTCAATGTAATTAATTGAAATCAAACGTCACATAAATAGCCCAAAGTCCGTTGATTATGTTTTAATCGTATTCATTTATACAACGGTCAGAATAATGCACATACAAGGGTTGGATCCATCAATAGATTTGTCCACTATTGACGATCACGCTATTTCTGTACTTAAATATACTTAAATAATACTTAAAAAATCTAAAGAAGTGAGTAGCTCCCATTAATTACCCTTAGCTCTTCCTCGACAGGCAGATATACCGAATACTAGAATAGTACTCATGGTATTTTAGCGCTTATTGAGTACTAATTTCAGCAAATATTAGTACTAAATGAGCAATTATGACATGAGTACTGATTTATTGCATGTTTTAGTACTAAATGAGTACTCATATGATTTCATTGATTTTTCATTACTCAATGATCACTCATACTATGAAACACTCATTAAGTGCATGTTTTATTACTAAATGAGTACACATATCACGAGTGATGAAATAGCACTAGCTTCATTGATTTTTCATCACTCAATGAGCGCTCATACTATGAGTACTAATTTAGTACACATGTTTCACGAGTGATACAATAATACTCAAAAATTAAGATGATGAAGTAAAATGTAGAATACGTAATAAATTACATTTTAATTACACGAAAACATGAATAAATGTATAATTAAACCTTTCCAAAAATTCCCATTCTAGTAGCTATTTCATGTAAAGGGTTGAAGCTAGGAAACAAAATGACAGACACCATATTGTTCCATTCTTGAGAAAAGGGCATATATATATACACTGCTTTGTACTTAGAATAAGTAACATGTGAAATTACCAAAATTACAAAACAGTCATAAACTGGTATGGGAGTAATTGAAAATAACAAATTTGAAAGTAGCATGTGAACTGTATCCCAGCTAGAATGATACCTACTCAGTGCTTTTAGTCCATTTGTCACTCCTATGCATCCTATAGTGAACCTATGACGATGTTTTTGGTTAATTTATGACGATAAGGGTTTCCTGGAGAGATTTAGCTGGTTGGACAAAAAGTTAGTTTGGGGAAAAAATAATATAGGCTAATTAGCGAGGCCATTACATGAAATATTGATTGTTTTCTATATCTTGAAATGTAAAAATGAAAGCATATTTATTATTGGTATTTCGCATTTATTCAAAATATTTTGTTTATCAAGCTTGCAGTAGAAAGGAATGACTAATTGGCGGTTTCCTTAAATTCTTAGTAATTTAATTGGATTGCCAATTATTGAATTTCTAACATATCTTAGAAAGGAAAAATGATAGCCCTGGGACCTGGAGACCCATGTTTTTAGCTTCAATGAATAAGAAAATGTTAAAATATACAAAAATGACTTATCAAATAGTGTACATATTATACGGATGCATGTTTAGCATATTTAGATATATCAAACGTTTTGTATGATGAAATTAGATGTGTGTCATCACCAATAGTGACAAATAAATCAATAAATTACTTGATTTATGCAGGTGTTTGATGTATAGAAAAGTAATATAACATAAAACAGATCCCTGAATCACACCACAAGTGAATAATGAAGTATTTTTGAATGAGACACTGTGTTGGTGTTCTTAGCTATTATACCATGTTACCAATATTCCACAGTTGATTTCACCGTTTGTTATAAGTTTATTATTAACAAAATACATTATGTAATTTATAATAAAATCATAATATTTTTTAGCCAGTTGTATGGTCAATTGAGTCAAAGGCTTTCAAAAAATCGCTTTTACAATGGACATCTTCATTTGCATATATAATTTTACCCCAAGGTTGCCCTTTGTCCAACCCAGCTAAATCAATTCATAAAACCCTTATGATAGTGATTCCACAATAAAACATCGTGTTTTTACAGATTCAAAGGTTACAAGGTAACAGAAAATAAAAAAGGATATACTTTTTTGCTGATTTTACAAACAATTTGAACAAAATTATTTAAAGCCATTTGCCACTATTTTGGACTGACTGAGAAACAGATGGACAAATCGATGTTAAGTAAAATGGCTGAAAAACGGATATTATTTTTTACCAATTATTTGTAACAAAATTATTTCATACAACTACTCTTTACAGTGACATGGCTTTTTGCAATGCAAGACATCTGAAATTATTTGTAAAGCTAGGAAATGGGCCAAACTTGAATTTCGCGAGACAAAAATGGCGACCATTTTGAAATCAGGCAAGCTTTTGAACCAGGAGTCATAGGGGAGTTTTTTGTATTGATGTTGAACAAAAAAACTGGAATCCTATCGACAGAGGTTTTAAGCAAATGGTCCA